AACTAGCATTTTTTTTATCTAAAATAATTATTTCTAAATCAATAGCCTTATCTGGCTATATAAGTAACATAAGATTTTTCTTGTCTCCTACTGGGGCTAATGATACCTTTGGAATGAGGCTTTTAACATTCCTGGGTATGAATGAAAAGTTTCTGTATCATGAATGTTTAGTAATTGCTTAAAATTTTCTGTTAGTGTCTGTTTTCTCCAGTAAATTCCTTTCTTAGAATATTTCTATACATAAGAGCAGAGATAATTACAGTGAGTCATTCGAAGACATGAACAAACACTTCTTGACAAGGTATTCACCTGCCTCTAATGCAGAAGAGAGGCAAGAGCTACAGGCATTGAAATTCATCTCCGAAGCTTTCAACAGATTGCAAACAGGGAGATACATCTGCTTAGGGTTGGTTTTGGCTTATCCATCAGGTAGATTCTCTACTGGGACTCACTGACCTGCTCTGAGATGATTTCTGTTAGTTTTGGGTGGCTTAGCCTTGCAGTTGCTTTCATCCTAACTTATGTTGTTGGTGATAGAGGGCGGAAACAATGTTTTGGTTTTAGCTGTCAAAATCTGATTTTTCTTTATATATGTACAAACATTCATCCAGACCCTTGCATTTTCATGTGTTTCTGTAGTAGCCAAATACATGTATTTTCTTTGTCTTGGAAATTTGAAAAAAAAAATGCTAGTGCAAATTATATTATAAAAAAAATGTTAAAAAGCAAATTTTATTGTTTTCATACAAGTAGATGCTAAGATTTTTCTAAAAGTTAAACTAGATATTTTCATGCAAAAGTGTTGATTTTTCCTTATTGTGATACATAAACTGTAGCCTGATATTGGTCTGGATTCAAACTGGGTCTTTAACACTTTTACACTCATTTTTCAGTAGTTCAAGTTGATGGTGGTTGAGCTATCAACAAAAAACTGTGATGCCATGATACTTAGGATACTAAATGGATTTGGAATTAGTAAACATCCATCTGCCAATTGCTTTCTCAGAGCTTTACCTTTGCACCATATCTTGAACAGGATACGTAAGCAACAAAAAATTTTAACTATTTGCTAAAAAGATTTTACTCCAGAGAATGAGCTAAAACTGAAAACAGCATCTCTGAAAATAAGAACCAGCCTTGCAGTCTTCAGATGGAACCTCCCAATGGTATTCTTGCTTCCCTATGCCTTTAAAATGCACCGTATTCTGTTGTCTCCTGGTTTTATTTCCATACGTACATATATATATATATATTTACAGCACTCCCTCTATTGCAAAGAGAGTTATATGTAACATCTAAGGGTAAAAAAAACCCCAAACAACACCAGCTTTAAAAAGTTGATTTATGGATAGAAAGTACACTTAGGTGTGATTCAGGAAACAAAAAGACTGTTCTCATTTCTTTTCCATCGTGCTCAGAAGAATTCCACTTAGTTTATAGCCCTTATTTCTTAGTATCATAGTCCCTTCACAGGTAGTCAACAAATATTCACTTTGCAAATAAAATTCCCATAGGATTACAGTTCTTGTAGAACTGCAGGGTTACCAAGCCCACCCCAGCTCCAGATGCAGAGCTCAGCAGTCCCCCTACCCTGAATTTCACTGATGCATAGCTCAAAGACAAAATACACGTAGTGTCTCCCTCTGAGTGTGGCCCAAGTCCAGAAAAGTGTCTGACCTCAGCTATTGGTTACTCGGTTGGCTCAAATGAAAGTAACCTGTGCTGCAGCTTTGAAGATCCTACCATCAAGCTCTGCTGGTTGAATAAGTAAGAAAAACAGTATGTGACAGTATCAGAACGGTTTTGAAGGAAGCTTTAATTCTTGCACTGCCAAACTTTTCAGAGCTCAACTGCACAATTCTCTTTTAGTGAAACTTTTAGACAGAATTCCCAAACTGATAACTTTACGAAGTATTCATGCAAGGAGAGGGACTTGTCTTTTTATCTTTGCCAAATAAGCTCCAGTGCACTACACTATTTTTCTGTAAAATGATGACAAAACGAGCATCTGTTCAAGTAACATGTAGACCCTGGAAAAACAGCAAGACCATTTATCACTTCTTGTACTGATTAGTTATTTAAAATTGAACAGTATTTATGATTGGAAACAATAGGTAAAGAGGTGTTTGGGTTTCCTGCTGATATGTATTTTACCATTGGCTTTCATCCTGGTTATTAAAGCCTAACCTTTTCAGCACGGGAGATCCCATTTCATCACATTGCTTCATAAAAACAAACAAGCAAACAAGGAGAGTGTTGACAGAGCTTTACTCAGGACCCTTACTTTTCAAATTAAAAAAAAAGTAGCCTTGTCTGGGACATGTTCAGCTTTCTATACATGTGCCTATCACAGATTCACCACCTGACTCTGGCCTATTTGGTAGAGCTAGAGGAGATGTCAGAATGGAGGAGTTACATAGATTAAATTGGCCTGGATCCAGCCAAACTAAATTCCATTTAAATCCTTCTGCCTGTCCTTGTTATTGGCTGCCTCTAGGTCTTATCTCTGAAGAGAAAGTTAGAACTATCACCCACCACCAGGAATGAGCAGTTCCTTAGTGAGGGCACTCACTCCTCCCTCTTGCTCAACTTGCAAATAAATGCTCAAGATTCATTAGTTCGGAGAGGGGAAAAAGGTGGAGCAACTGATGTTGCTCCTATACATGTTTTATATTATTTATAAAAAGTAAAAAATACCTGCTGGTATTATATCCAAAAATCTTTCTTCTTCAGGATACAAACAGACATCACAACAACTACAGCCACCTTACTGAACCAAGTCAGCCCAGCTGAACACAAAATTTGTCCTACCCAAACTCTTCTGCAGGGGTGGGGCAGCCTCCAGGCTGTTGGATAGCTTTGTTAGTCTCACTCTATCTTTCATTCATAGTTAAGATGAAACCACATTGAAATTTAGATGAAGCCTCATTGAAGCTTTCCTAATGAACAGTTATGTAGCACAGCAAGCTAATTTGCATTCCTGTGCTCACTCTGAAACAGGTTCTTAAATTAAGGTATTCCTAGATTAACAATATCTTAAAATAAGGTGTTTGCTGCTTTTCAAGAATCTTAATTTTTATGGAATACTGTTTTTTCCCATGTTCTAGATATGCTATCTTTTCTATTGTCTTTAGTTTGTACCACCAAAGACCAGCACCTGAGTCATATATATCTCAGAAAAGACTGAGGGGAGCAATAACATTAAAATCAGTCTGACATCTTATTAACGGTTTCACGGAGTGGAGATACAATTTAAAACTGTGGAGAGATTAAATGTTTTGTTGCACTTAAAATTAAGAAAATATTTCTTAAATCAATTAAAAAATTGGAACTTGTGTTACAGAATAATGGACATTTTAATAATGCCCTTCAACAGCATAAACATTTCACTTACTTCTGGAATTAGAGACCACTAAAAATTAGAGGGGGGTGTCCATATATATATATATATATGTATTTAAACACACACATAAGTATATGCATATTTCCTCTTAATGAGAACTGTATATATATGTATTGTGACACATTTTGACAGGAAGTATGCAATTGAGGCAGTTATTAAGAAATGAAGTAACTTTAAGAGAGTCTTTGAGAGATGTTTAGATACCTATAAATTTTGAAGTGTGTCCTAGTACATAAGACATTTATTAACTTGTGTAAACATGAGTTATGCTAACTGAAAGAAATACCTGACAAATTGACAAACTTGTGAAAAATGTTTTTGTTCAAACTTTTCCTTAAAATGTGCTGGTTTCTTGTCCTCTCTATTTTTGGAATGAGGATATTTTATAATTAAGAGCCTAGATTTTCAACCTCCTGTTTATAGAACTCCCACTGAAATTGGGTCACACCTTTGAAATAAATGGGATTTCTGAACATGAAGGATATTGTTTGCAATATGTTTAATGATATTTTAATTTGTTATCTGATAGTAATTTGAGTGTTTTGATGCAGGTTTTTCAGGTTGCATAAACAACAGGAATGTTGGCAAGTTATTTCACCTCCCAAAAAAGGTCGCAGAAGCACAGTGTACCTATAATATCATTAAAATCATACTTACTTGGTCTTGCTAAAATTATTAGCAGAAGCAACATTTTATTTTGTACTACAGATATCTTATCATTCTTTATCCTTTACTATTGTCAACACAACCCATTTTTTAAATACTCTAAAGGGAGAAACAATTAGAGAAAGATATTACACAATAATTCAATCTTTTCAAGGCCAGACTACTATCCAAAGTGAAGAGGACAGATGCAGGTTATGTAACCCCAATAATGCAGAATTAGACAGACCTGGGCATATTTTATTCTGCTTTTTAGCTATCACCATTTAAAGAAAACATTTCAAAAGATCATTCCATAAGTAAGGAAATTAGTTTTCATGCATATCACTTGGCAAATTGTATTTGCCCTACTTATGTGTGTACATCCTAGTGGGGCTGATTCTACTCTCATATGATGTCAGGCTCACCCTGATAGAAAATAATTGCAACCTCTTCTGGTGAACACTAGATAACAGAAAACCAGAATTTGAGTGGTTTTTTTCTAGCAGAAGGCTTAGGCCTGAGCACTAATATGACACATAATATTAACTAACTGTCCAATTGTATTAAGTTGTCTCATATTATATTGTCTGACTTTCCTCTAGTGGAGTTTCTGAGGTTATAAAGGCTCTACAAACTAACCAAAAATCTTGTATCTGCCATTATGCTGTGTATTGTTAGGTAGATAACTAATTAATTAACCTTCAATAACCTGCTTAGTTGGGGCAGAAGTCTGGGCTATCACTGTTAATAAAACCCACACATTACCTAGAGAAGCTTTTGTCTCCATCAACTAAATATACCTCAGAAGAGATGATGTCACCCAGGTTTACCCATTCTCCCGACTCTTTCCTTTGGCACCAGGCAGATGGAACTTTTTCCAGGGTTGACATTGTCAATGCATAGATAGTTGGACATATATCACTTCAGATTTCTTGCCATTCAGCAGTATTACCTGATTGGTAGAGGAGACCTCATGCTGGTCTAATTCCAGGAATAACTCCAAGCAGACATCTCAGTCATTCTCCTCAGGAAGAAAAGTCACTAGCCATACACTACTCTGAAACACAGAATTATTAAGTGTATTAGCAAAATGTTTGCCACGAAGCTTACTAATTTTTTTTTTTTACTTTAAATAAAACTCTAAATAACAAAACCTCCTTTCTTTGATTCTATGTGGAATACACTGATGCAGCTGTGTGCTCCTCCACCAAGAGAAGATTAATCATTAATTTTACAGGTAGCATGACACAGAAATAATACACAATAATGTTTCACATACTTTGCTTTTTAACATTCTTGTTTTAATGAATTCATTTGTATTAGAGTAAAAGGACAAATGAAATAGAAATACGGAGTGCCCAAAGTAAATGAACAGCACTGCAAAATCCCTAGTTTTAACCCTAGTTCTGATAATATCTTGTACTTGACCTCTAAATAAACTCCTACCTCTGCGTATACCTGTATGACTGTGAAAAGGGAATGAAAACATAACTTAATCTTTGCCACAATGACTGATTGTGAGGCCTTTTACCTCAAAGCAGATGTGTTATTTTAAAGCACTATGTAATAGGTATTGCTATTAGTGGAGGTTCATGCAAGAAATCTCTTCTAGAAAAATATTTGCTGGACAAGAAACAGCTTGGAGTATGAGTAATTCATAAGATAATTTTGCAGAACTGAGTAGCATCTGCTTAGCTCAGCTTGGGACCATTTTATTAGCTGAAGTTCCAAACTATCTTGTGTATCTAACCAAAAAGACCAGAATAAACTCTTTTTCAAGTGGACAAATACAAGCAATCTGGACTACACTGAAACTGTCCCATTAAGTCTTGAGTCCGTATTTGAGCTCAGGTTTCTTTGATCATTTCTATGGTCTAGGTAACAGGTTGCAGGGAGATTTTTGTCTGAAATAGTCTATTGCTTCTCTACCAGAAAACATCACACACAGGGTGGTGGCTGATTCACACCTTTGGGCAGCCAGGACAGGGCAGATCAAGCCATTGGCACAATATCCTAGTGAGAGTGGAGCTAAAGATGCACACAAGGCTTATCTGTCTTTATCACCAGGCCAAATACATCAGCAGTCTTGCAGGCAGTCCCTGCAGAATCGGATAAAAGGGATGGAGACTTTGAATCAAGTATGTAGGAACGCAGCTCCCAGTCGTATGTCCATCTGATGGCACCAAAACTCCTTTCCAAATATAACTGTGTCCATCCCATGCACATAAAGCAGAATAGCATCAAGACACACTTCAAAGCACATCAGGTAAGCAAAAAAGGAAGCAGGCTATTGGAATGTAGCTGCATGCTGTGTCCCAGTGTAGACAAAGATGTAAATATGCAGGGAAATTTAGGGCTGAGAAAAATTATTTTTAGAGTGTGCCTTAATCTAAGTGATATGAAAGTGTACATATTTCCAACATTCAATAGGTAAAATTCTCAGGATAATAATTGTAATATAACATGAGAATATTCCCTTAACATAATGACTGTGTGTTTTGCATCTGGGTAAAAAATACATTTCTGACACAAGCAGTGCTGAATTATTTTATGACTGTGCTTAGCAGAAGCTGCCTTTCTGAAGTTGTAACAAAGTTCAGACTGTCTAAAGAGAAGATAGATGGAAAGATATTTATCATTCAAGGCAGTGCTATTCATAACCTTAAGACATTCAATGAAGCTATGTAAAATACCTTTTTTCAAATTTCAAATATAGGTAAATGTAATATAGGTGAGGACATTCACTATCTATATCCTCCATGTATTGTCATTCTCTGAAGTGAATTCCTTTTGCATTTTACAAGTATGTAATGACATAAAATACAACATTTTTGTAGAAAATATTTCTCAGAAATGCTTTGCTAGTCATATTAAAAACATACTAGTTGCTAGTTTGTTTCCTTTTTTTATCTTAAAAATGAATCACATCCAAAAGCTGCATTACACATTCAGGAGCTGCTTATCCTTCACCTTATAAATTTGCCTTCCTATTAGATTAAAATTTCTTACCTGTTGGCTCTGTCTTTCTGGTTGTGTAAGGCTGCAATGCAAGACAGGTTTATTGGCTGTGTTTGCAGAACTGCCGTAAGAATAATGCATTGAGCATCCCTGATGTAAGCTGCTTCCTAAGGTCACCTCCCCATTTGAGTTCAATGGCATGACTAATGCACGTGGAGTTAAGCATGGGCATTCGGCCCTGAGCTAGCAAACATTAGCACAGGGGCAGGGAAGCGTATCCATGCAGAACCCCCCTCGATTCAGTATGGGAGCACAGAAACCTGCCACTGTCGGAGCCAAAATGTTTACAGGACTGTGACCTTCGAAGGCAATTAAGACACCGTAGCAGCCCATTAAACAAACAAACAAATTATCATCTGCCACACAAAATGAGAAGCAGCTATCTATACTTTAAATTAAAATAAAGGGACTACTCAACAGGAGCATCCCAAACTAAGTCACTCTGTATAATAGTTTAGAAATACAGGTTAAATCACTAATGTGGTATTCTCATACTTTATGTTACTTTGTTATGTTTGTCCTTCTTAGGTAATCTCTAGTAGTTTACACAGAGCACTTTTTGACTGCAGTCCTCACAAACATGGTCCAGTATCATTCTCCTGAAAATAAGTTATTATCTCATCGGGGAGTAACTGCTCCTTCAGGCTGAGCTGTGATGGGGTTACACCTGGGCAAGGGCTATCTACAGTGAAATGCATTTTTCATATGAATAAAAGACTTTCTAAGAGAAACTCAACAAACAAGACCTTGGTGCTGCAATATCTGTGTGTAATATTATGCATGTGAGTCATCTAAATACCCTGAAGGGGATTCTTGCATGCATAAGTATTTGCAAAATGGAAAGTGACATATTTTTGATGCCCAAGAAGGAACAGTTTTGTCTCAATCTCTTATAGCTGTTCTGTTGTGGTTTTTTTCTTTTCATTTATATGACCTTACTCCTAGTCTTTAGTCTGATGACTTAAATCATACAACCAAGACAACAGAGCTGGTTTGGGTTTATTCTCTCTACCAAAACTAAAGGGGGAAGAGAGGTCAGAAAGAGAGAGAGAGAAAGAGAAAGAAATTAGGTCCATTCAGTAGATCAGCAGATACACAGGGTTAAAAAATGTGAATGCCACCTTTTTATGTTTGTATACATAAGTGTAATGTGTATATGTATGCATGTTCATATACATATATATATAAATATATATACATATATATACATATATATGTATTTGCTGGGTATATGTTAGATTCTAAAATACTACAATTTTTTCTCTCATGTAAAGGAGAGAATGTTACACACAGAAAGACTTATTCCACTTATTAGCAGCATTTAAGGGATCGCTAAATTTTTATAACGTACATACGTGATTCTCCTGCTATATACTGAGTGAAGAAAATTAAGTTTCTAATGATTTTACCTTAAAGAATAAACATCAATTTTTTTAAAAGTTAAATTCTTATTAGAACTTCAAACTTCTGAAAACACAGCGTGGTCAAAATCAATATTTTCCCATAGATTGTCAGGCTTTTATAAAGTGTTTATAACGCTCTGTGACTAAATATGAAAACAATTTTTAGAACTTGATTAGGGTTACCAAAAAAGACTTTATTTCATTAACAATTTTAGCTGCAAGTGCTGTGTTACAGATCCTAGCAACACAGAAATTATAAATTAGCTGGAACAGCAATTATTAGAAATTCAAGCTTGTAAATTTTAAGACTGATTTAAAAATTAATAAATAAATTTAATATTTTCCATCCTAAAGGAAACAATTTTCCCATTTCAGTGGAGATGTTAAAAGAGCACTGTTCAGGCTGCTTAACAAGGGTCACTCCAGTACCAGCAGGTTCAGGAGAGAGTTACATGACTCATATCTCCATCCCCAGGGCAAAGGCCCCTTCAGCATCCTCCTGTATGTCAGCACCCTGCTGCTGCAGACGCTGGGCATCCTTCAGAGCTCGTTCTTGCTCTGACAGCAGCCTCAGGCCCTTGCTGAGCTCCCCCTCTCCTGTTCACGTCTCTACCGCCTTGCACCAACCCGGCTCCCGGTGAGCCCTGTTACCCAGGAGACTCGGCTGTCACTCACCGCACATTCGCCTCCATCACTCTGCTCGAAACAGCCCCTTTTGTACTCCGTGGCTTGGCGTACCCTTGATTTGTTCTCCTGTGTACAGGCACCACCAGCCCCTCTGTGCGAGCTTATTAATGACACTCCCTAAGGACCCATCCCTCAGCGGGATGTGACGCCAGGCACTACCCCCCAGCACCACCCTCTCCACCCCCTCCCTTGCGCCCCCATCCCCCTCGCTCTCACCCCCCACCCTACCTCCCGACGTAAGCTCACCTTTTCCAGGTGATGCTCACAGGTGTTGGTGATGCAGCAGTTATTCCACTCCCACTACTATGGTGTGCTGTAGGAAGCATCTCTGTCAGGAGTTGTCTTCCTGGCCAAAAAGTGACACATAACTTTTACCAGCAAAACAATCCCTTCTGGCAATTTCATTGAGTTATCAACACTCTTATTTAAAACATTTTTGTTTTTCCTCTCAGATTCTGTGCCAAAACATCCCTCCTTTTCATTACAACTTTCCAAAATGCATTTTCAAGATGGCACTGCAAATAGTCTTACAAATAATCCTCTCAAGCACCTATGCCACTTTCTGCAGCTTCACTTGTTTGCTTACTCTGAAAACAGAAGAAAAAAAAAACCTGAAAAAAAAAGCCTCAACTCCTAGCGAGATGACCAATCTTATTTTTTTTTACTATTATCTCTACATTTATACTAACAGCAAAATAATATGAAGCACAGATAATTGCTATAAGGAAAAAACAAGCATTAATATACTCATATTGAAAATCTGATTTGTAGAAGTGCTGTGTGTTTTCATTTATTTCAGCAGCAAGAATGAGTGCTTATCATTTCTGGAAATATGGATGACAATGGACAAGAAATCTGCGGTAAGATTTTCAAAGCACTTTGTCAGGGTGAAAAAAAAACAACCAAGCTCTGCTGTCTTTGGCTTCCTACTGAATATCATCAAATCACAGGCTTGAAAAGTACTGTATCTTTTCTGTGTAGAATGGAAGATAGTAAAAGTCTCAACTGTGTTTTTGCTACCTCAAAACTTCAGTAGCAAAATACTGCCAAGTTGAAAATAATGTTAAAATAAAAGACTGTACAAGAAAAATTTATAGTATATCAGAAGGTCCTGTAGAAGCACAGATAGTACCAACGAAATCAGTATAAAATTATGAAAGTTGTAAGCGCTGGGCTAGAATAGCTCTGTTCAGTGGTACAAGAATGTGTACTTATCCGCAGTCAAGCAGAGTGCTCATATTTCTTAAACTAAGTAAAGTTCGGCCATGTCAGTGACTGAGATAAGACACAGGTGATACCAGATGTGTTTTTTATGCATCAGCAGGTGGCATACTTCTGCATAAGTGAGCATTACATTAAACAATCAAGTGAGCAGGCAGTTGCATTACTTTGCCAGAAATGTCTTTGTTCAGAACAAAATCCAGGTTCTAGCATTTTGCTGGTCAAAAAAACCCCAAACATAACAATGAATTGCATGAAAGTCACCATCAGTCACATAATACTCAGAGTTTTTCCTCTTTATTCAGTGCTTCAAGAATTATAAGCTTAAAATTCGAATTTTGATTTCATAAGAATACATTTTAAGTCACACAAATTTTCCCAGCACAGAGTCCATTGCAAATGGAGACATGGATTTTGCAATTGCAATTGCAATTCCTCAGCTGACAAATGTCTCTATTCTGATCTACTCGCTGGACTCCAATAAAAAAGCAATCAATGTTTAATTAGATAAAGTGAAAGACTGGCCTCTTCTGAGGGGGCAACAGTCTGGAGCGGAGCAGCTCTTCAGTGATGAACAATGAACTCCTGTGTGAAGGGTCTGAATTCTGTATAGACCCATTCCCACAAGAACCTTGTGATTGGATGCAGCCAAGTAGTCAAAAAAGTAGGTGAAGAAAAACGACGAAAACCGTATATGAGCGAAGTAAGAATATGTGATTGTCACCTGGCAATGTGATGGGCAGATGTGTGAGAGCACACGTGCATGCAGGATTTTCTCTCTTTTTGACTATGCTTCTCATTTTTCAAAGAAATAGTATCAAGTTTGGGGTAAATGAAGGAGTACAATTTCTTCTTCTCAATTAAGATTTTGTTGAAAGGCATTAAGGCAGTTATGAATGACAGCAAGAGAGTTTCTCTATTCCATGCACAAGGATATCATTGCAACTAAAAGTAAATTCATAGAGGAAAGTTTTGGTATCAATTTTCTGTAGCTCAGAGAAAAGGAAAAGTAGCAAAGGCATTAAGTTGCACAATTTTACAAAACTCACTTTCAAACTTACTTATGAGTTGGTAGATTTGGCCAAAATGTCAAATCACAAGATTTTTTAAATAATAAAATATTTTTAAATACTTTGTTTTCACTGAGCAAATAAATAACGCAATTGTATTTTTTGTTTCCATTTATTTCATAGGCTAAGGACACAGAAGAATTCTGGTGTACAAACAACTGTAACACAAATTGTTTCCCCCTCTAAGAACAGAGGACTCCTGTGCAAAACTCTGAAGTGATGATAATTTAAAGATATTGCTGACATGTTGGGGGAGCCATAAGGGTGCGTGGGCCTCTGTCCATAGATAATACAAGTCAGGCCTGAGGCAAATAGTGGAAGAAAATTTAGATATCAGTGAAATAAATAAATGTCTTCTTGTAAAATTGAGAGATGCTTACATCAGATCAAATGAAAAATAAAACCAAAGCAGTTCCCAAAGGAGCAGCAGAATATAATAAAAGATATCAACAGAACTAGGGCTAAAACTAGGAGAAAATATTCTTTCCATATTTGTTTCCATGTAAGATCAGAAAGAACATGGGGAAAAGATGGGGTTTTTTTCTGATAAATCAGATTAAAATGTCTCTTGAATGAACTTCCTCTGTCATTCATTCAACCCAGGATCACTGCATGGATACACTACTGACACTTTTTCTGCTTTACTCTCTTAAAATAGCCCTTTGCAGTACACGTGAGTGCATTTAGATTAAATATGCACATCAGCCTGGGAACTCTGAGGATACTTTCAAGAGATAGCTATAGATCTACACTTATCTAGCAAACAGCTTTGACAGAGTTATAAAAAGTTACCCATAACACTTGAGCAAATAACTTAATTTACAGATACAGTTCAAAACCTCACCCAGACTGATTGCATATACTTCTGTTATTCGTTTCAAACAGGTTAGTCATCACTAGGCTTCAGCATCCTAAACCATTCTTTGCACCTATTTTTTCAAGTGAGAAGTATTTGCACATTCAGGAAAATTCTTGCTGCTTCTTCCACTCAGTATAAAGTTTGAGTTATGCCCAAAAATTTAGTCTTCTAATTACCTTCTATTTCTTAATTTACTTGAAGCCCAAGCTACATTTAATGTTGAAGTACAAAGAGTATTGAAAATTGCAGATTTTTTTTTCTCTATTGGAATTTCAGGATCAAACTACTACTACTACTATCATTGTTTTACTGCTAAGAATACATAATTTCTTTTTACCTTTTAAATTTTTTAAACATTTATTTTTTTAGCATTAAGATTTTTAAATTAAAATTTTTAACTTTTTAAGCATTTTTAACTTTCTTAAACTCTTTTAAACTGTTTTTAGCTTTCTTAGATATTGTACTTCCAAAGCAGACATCTTTTTTTCCCAGAGAAGTTTACTGTTACTACAATCTCAAGACGACTTTGACAACTGGATGAAATGAGAGCAGAGATGAAAACCTCATGGCAAAAGCTAAGTAACTTCAGTTGTTTAGCAAAAGCAAGTTTACCTTAGGGTTGATTATTTCAATATTTATAATTTGTAAAATAAATATACTTACAAACATTCAAAAATATCACATGCATTACTTTAATTTTAATGCCAAAACTGGAGTTGAGGCAGAGACCCTGTTAAGAAGAAGCTGCATGTTTCCTGATTCAGTTTGCTGAAGATGTGCATGGAGAGGAGGAGTCAAAACAACAAGAAAGGGAGGAGGCGACCAGGGCACCAAGGGTAACACCATTAGTAGAAAAGAGAGGGCAGAAGCAGGTCAAATGTCTAGGTCAAATAAAGCAGGACAATGTTAAGGAGAGGTCTGAATAAAAAGATGAGAGCCTTGAATTTAACCGCAAGGTGATGAATTTGAGGGCCATGCAGCACTTTACAGGGTGTGCCCAGCACCTTGCAGAATTGCTTTTGGAGACTAAATTTTCATCACTTGTAGGCATTGTACATTATTAATGACTGCAGAATTAGGTTACAAATGTTTGGGAATGTATCTGGAAAGACAATACAGTCTGATTGTCAGATTATTGTCATTAAACAGAAGTGAGGATGACGAAATGAATGAAATGAGGGAAAGGAAAATGTAAACTGAACAAAATGAAAATGTTTCTAATGGTGAATTCTGTTAGACTGTTGAAAAGTTTCCCAGGGGACATAGTGGACTTCCTGTTCTTTGCAAGAGAAAACACTTTAAGGAACAATCCTTCAGTGGAATAGAAAAACATTAGGTAACCTATTAGGTCTTCACCATCTTTGTTTTCTGTGTAACTGAATAGAGCCAGAGCAACAGAACAGCATAACTTTTATCCATTAACGTCAGTGTGACCTGCAAAAATGCAGGTAAGAAAGTCTTTGTTACCTTGAGGTGGGAGTACCAAAATTGTTAATGTTGGTACTTTTGCAAATATATGTTCCTGCAGATGTCCTAGTCCAGAACAAACTATACATCTGTTCTGAAAACTCCTAGTCTCATGAATTAAGAAGCAGTAGGTGATAACAAGACCTAACAATAAATCAGGATAATACTGCACACTGTGTAACCTAAGTATTGAATCAGAATATAAAGCATTTACATAAAAATAAAAATGTCTGAGAGTAAAACACTGTATTAAATTTCTCTGTGTGAAATGATTGTGAAGAAAAAGTCCTAATAAAACTGTACATGTTCATTATTAAAGAATTTTTTTTGTCTTGAATGCTTTGTGTAATTTTGAAAATTGGTTTCTCACAGAATACTGTGAAAAATATTTTTAAAATATTAATGTGATAATTAAAAACAATTAAAACCATCAGTCCTGTCATACATGAAGCAACAGAGAAGTCTTGGTATGATGTCCAGTACTTGAATCAATATCATCCCTGGATCTGCAGGTTTGCAACCAGAACCCTCAAACAGAAGAAAACAACACTGCTAAGCATCATGTCATCACTGTCACTGTTCTGATCTAGGAAAGGAAGGTTGCACTCTTCCTTTCATCCTCCAAAAAGAAAACCCTATGGTATTGTGGGAGGAAGAAGTGGTTACACAGAACACTGATAACCCTGTTCTTCAGTGTCAGAGGTTTTTTTTGATAACATTCTACCTGAC